TTGATACAGGAATGTTATACTTTGTGATTTTAGTGTATGAGTGAATGTAAAATTTTTTAATTTCCCGTCTGTTCCGTCCCCCGCACGTCCCGACACTCGCAGGGAACGGAACTCGGAAGATGGATGCCGGCATCAGCCGGGGACGCTGCAGGGGGGACATCGCGGGAACGCAGGACAAGGTAAGTGCTGGAGGGAACTCAGAGCTCAGGGCTACCGCTTCTGGTACTGAAAGTGAACCCCAAGCTACACTCAGGAATACCGCCAGGGAGGTTAAAATTCTGCACAATCTTAAGGCACCCCAATCTAAAATGTAAAAACCTATTCTGCACACATCCAGTACACCCAACGTTAGAGGTGATTTATTCTTCCAAAGCCAATACACCTTTGCACACTGCTACTGACTAGTATTCCAGTGCGTCTCTCTCATTTTCTCTCCCTCACTCTCTACTAATGTGAACCCAGTGCTGTCGGACAGGGGCAGGGGCGGGCCAAACTAGGATGATGTGCATGCGCCTGATGGCCTCCTTATCAACTGATATCAATGGTTGTTAGGATGCTGGCATCTTGAAGGTCCTAAAAATGCACAATGTAAACCTATGGCTTTCTTTACTAAAAGGCAGAATTGATCCACCTGCTGGCTTGTATACAATTTTTGGGCATTTTGTCAAGGCACCCCTTAAGAAGCCTGAAGGCACCCTGGTTGAGAAAGGCAGGACAACACAGAGGCTAAACGGTTAGCACTTCCGCCTGGCAGTACTCGGGTCGTTGGTTCGAATCCCGACCACAGCATCACCTGCCTGGAGTTTGCATGTTCTCCCTGTGCCTGCGTGGGTTTCCTCCAGGTACTCCGGTTTCCTCCCACTCTTCAAAGACAAGCTGGTAGGTGAACTGGATCCTGTCTAAATTGTCCCTAGTATGTGTATGTATGAATGTGAGTTAGGGACCTTAGATTGTACACCCCTTGAGGGTTAGGGACTGATGTGAATGTAGAATATATATGTAAAGCGCTGCGTAAATGGACGGCGCTATACAAGTACCTGAAATAAATAAACCTCTCAGCAATTACTAGTTGTAGAGGCAGGCAAGTCGCTCTCCGTGCCGATGCAGAGGTGCCTCAAATGCTCGGAATTAGTATGCAGCTTAGGAGCTGGACAGAATCCGTGTTCAGTAAAGACTATTAGTCTCAACTCCGGGAGGAATGACAAGGCATGACAAAATCCCTTTAACCAAAGGCTTCAAAGCCAAAATCGATCTTTTCACAGCAGAGTTAGGAAACAAAACTAGTAGGATTGTCTCTCATTTGTAGTTTTTCCTCGTACGGATTGCAGGCACAGGGCTGGTATCGGTTCTGTTAACTAGACACGCAGGGATCACCACACAGCTTCTACCACCACTGCCTGTAATTGTGACCTTGGTTTTTCATAACTTCCTCCTCCTGTGTGTGAACAGCAAGTTTCAGGAAACAAATCTACCAAGCTGGTTTAACCACTCTAAGCTGGTGTGAAATGCAAGACTGAAGAGAAACAAAGCTCAAGAAAAGTGACACAAAGAATATGGATCCTAGTTACTGCTGTATTGCTAAACAAAGACGTCATTAAAGCTGAACTCCAGAACCAAAAAAATGTATTTAAAAATCTACCGATCAATAGCCACAAAGGATTTAAACCCACAATGTGCTCACCAAATGCCTTTGCAAACCCAGATAGCACCTTGTAAAAGCAGCAGTTACATCATCATTGTGCTTCACATAGCCTGTGGAGAGGGCAAAGCTATGGGAGTGACTCAGTGGCACCACCTGCAGAAAACTACAGGAGAGGGCGGAGACAAAACCGGTCACCCTGCACAAGGTGAGAGAGCAGCAGTGACCGGTCCTTATCATAGAAGCTCCTACACAGATCTGTAATACATCAAGTACACCAAATTCAATTAAGAAAACAAATGTCTCTTGTATTTAGACAATTTGGGGCAGGGGGTTTACTAAAAGAGAGTGCAAAATTTAGTGCAGCTCTGCGTAGAAACCAATCAGCTTCCATGTTTTATTGTCAAAGCTTAACTGAACAAGCTGAAGTTAGAAGCTGATTGGCTCCCATACACAGCTGCACCAGTTGTAGTAAATCTCCCCCCATGTGTTTATTCAGCTTTACAAACATTCACAAGACTACAAGTGAATGTTGCAGCGTTGGACCCCATCAGGTCTCTAAATGGCTTAACCACTTGCCTAATCGGCACTTATACCCCCTTCCTGCCCAGGCCAATTTTCAGCTTTCAGCACTGTCACACTTTGAATGACAATTGCGCGGTCATGCAACACTGTACTAATATGCAATGCTTATAATTTTACTTACACAAATAGAGCTTTTTGGTAGTATTTAATCGCCACTGGGTGTTATATTTTTGTACTATAAACAAATAAAAGAGCAAAAAATAAAATGTAAAAAAAAAAAGTTTTTCTTTGTTTCTATTATAAAATTTTGCAAACAGGTAATTCTTATCCTTCACTGGTGTGCATTGATGGGCACTGATAGGTGGCACAGATGGGCTGCACTGATAGGTGGCATGGATAGGCAGCATTGATATGCAGCATGGCTGGGCACGGATATGCAGCACTGATGGGCGGCACTGCTCATCAGGGCACTGAGCATCAGTGCTGATCTGTTTCCTGACAATTGCTGGTTATCAGCAGTACTCGCCTCACGCTGTGACATGAGGAAAGTGCAGCCAATAACCAGCAACTGCATTTACCTGGTGATCTGCTGTGTCATTGGACACAGCTGATCACATGGTAAAATGCAGCTGTGATTGGCCTTTTACCACATCACATGATCAGCTGTGTCCCTAGGACACAGCTATCATGGAGATCGCCAGGTGTGTGCCACTGGGGGCACGCGGGAGGGCGCGTTCTAGGAGGATGTCATATGACGCCCTCCCAGAACTGGACAACCATGCTGTAGCTGTCATTCAGCTATAGCACGGTTGCCAAGTGGTTAAAGGCCAGTTCTCTACAACAGAAGAGGTATTGTATTCACCTCCCCTCCATTACCCCAGACACTAAACAGCAATCAACACTCAGCAGTGTAATGCCTGTGTCCCCTTTGCTGCACATCAACTCCATCTTCTGGCCCCTACATCACTGCTACATACAACACTCCTTAAAGCGAACTGATGGAGGCAGCACTGCGATGAAGGGGAGGTAGAAGTCCCAGACCATTGGAGAGGCTAGTATACTACCTCCTCTTACCTTCCAGAAAAGGACTAGACTGTAAATGGCCAGGTCTGGGTTCAGATTCAAGCCAAACCAGAAGTTGAGTTTCATGTTGACAGTATCTAGGATATAGGAGCTCCTAGGTGTAAGGGAGTTTAGGGATTTAAAATGTCAAAAGCAGCATTTGGCAGTCTTCAGCCATATTATTTTTTTTTTAATCCCATACTTTTCTTTTATGTATATAAAGCTAGCAATCATACTTACCTAGATGGCTGCAGAACCAGTCCCAGCTGCATCTGTCCCATGATTGAGATCTGAGCGATCAAACACTGCTGATCGCTCAGTCTTCAGTCTGTAGAAAGTCAGTGACTGTTCGTCACAAGCTCTCTGCTCTGCCCCTCCAGTGCTCACTGGAGCACTGGGCTGTGGAGGGGATGGAAGCTGCTGGCTTCAGGCTGTCAGTGGCTCGCTGAGAGGCTGAGCCAGCTGCCAGTCCAGGCTTCTGGGCGGATCCCAACCATACGGTCAGGATCTTTTCAGAGCCTGGACTGGCTCTGTGATGTCAGCCAACAGTGGCTGAAAATGGGTCACAGGAGTGCAGAACGTACTGCACTCCTGTGGTTCATAGGAGAAGCAGAGGCAAAAAAATCACCTTTAAAGCAACAATCTCTGTGGGTAAGGAGGGCAAATTGCTTTGAATTAAGGGCAGACACCCCTTCCTGCAAATATCTGCAGCAGCCCTTAAAACCTTCCTGTCACAGCTAAATGTCAAGACATTCAAAATGACAAAGCGTTGCCACTCCCTGATTCCTTCCTATACTGCACATTTCTATTAGCTGTCTAACACAGCCTAAAGGGTTTCTGCAGGAGGTGTACCTTCAAAAGTCGGCCAGAATCTTTAATTTCCTTGACAGGTTGACTCTAATCTACAAAAAAAATGAAGAAGGGTTGTAACAGCGCAAACACTGCAAAGTCCTGGGAAATGGTAGTATGGGGTGATGGTGGTATTAGTGGCTACTGTATGAAGAGCGTAGGACTCCGTGTGGCACTGAGGGCAAGGCTTCCAAATAAGCTGTAGCAACGCCTGTAGATGAGAAAAGGAGAGAAGCGCCTCTAAGTGTGATAATCGCACTTAGAGGCGCTTCTCTCCTTTTCTCATCTGACTAATCTACACGCTGGCCACACTTCCTGTGCACACTACATCATTTAACTTGTGGTAAACACACCTAATTAGGTAGATTCACAGCAACCTAACAAGCACTGTGCGCAATGATGACATGCTCCACCATGAACTGCTGACACCATAAACGCAAATGTAAACACATCACTTGGTACTTTGTACTTTCCTGGTAAAACCAGAGAACTATGTTTACCAGCTGTTCAACTGATAGCACAAAGTAAATATATAAAGAACAGATATGCCAATTCTTCACAAACCATACAAAGTTTCAGCACTAATCGTAATACAAAGTTTCAAATGTGCAAGACAGCAATAATAAAAAAAATAGCAATCTAAAATCGCTTCAATTTCATTTATTTTGAAAAGGATCTTCCATGGACATGTATTATATGATGCATCTTTGAATTTTCAATTAGTAAGAAATAAAAGAGCCGCAATTAATTTCATCTTCGATTCCACACAGATAGAAATGGACAATTATAAGACGACAACCGAAAAAAAAAAAAAAAAAAGAAAAAAAAAAAGTCACTGAAATGAGAGCGTAAACTTGTAAACTCCTTCATCTGGAACGATCTGCCAAGACAGAAAGCGATTGTTCAAAGTTTTGAGGTTCCAAAGTTACTGCAGTCTGCGATAGCTCTTACATAGTTCGTGGTCTCTAATGTCTCCCCACCCACCGTTTTTCACCAGTGGGGACAGAGCACCCATTGAGTATCGCCGGCTGATCACTATGTTCTCAGGAAATAAGTACGGTTGGTTGCCTGTAAACATAGCCTCGATTTTGGCACTTTCTGTGGTGGGTTTGCAAGATTTCTTATGGTGCATTCCACAACTCCCAATGTGATATATCCTAGGAATTTCGGGAACCATCACTTTCCAGAACTTGGGAAGACAATTGACTGTCAGATGCTGCAAGGTCCAGTCCCAGTTATAGTCATCGTAAGAACAAAAAGTGTCTGCACACTCTATGAGCTTTAGATATGTGTTTCTGGTTATGGCCATCCCCATGTTGTGTTCTGTAGACTTCCATGTCTTCACCTCCACTTTGTCTGCTTTCTCAGCAAACGTCTGGAGACGAGCATAGCTTCCAATGGTCAACACGTCACACTCTGGACATTCTTCATTTTTTCTGCTCCACATCTTTTTAAGGATGTAATAGAAATCTGGAGACAGGTAATGGTCCTCTTCGATGAAAAGGACTAGACCCTTGTGCTCTTTTAATACCTTTACCTTTTCCCACACAAAATGCAGCTTCCACCACCAGTGGTGCTTGGTTTGTGAAAATTTAGCCTCGCGGTAATGCCCAAAGGAGTCTGGGTACTCTGCATTGATGCAACCAAGCTTAATGGCGTCTTTTTTCTCTATGTCCCTAGGGCAGTCTTTTGGGTCGTGCCCTGGAAATTCATTGGGGTATAACTGTATGCTAAATGGGAAAAATATTTGGAGCACTTGACAGAAATCCACACTTGCGACAATCTGATTCAATTCTGCCGACCAGTAATCGTGGCTGAAAATCAACAGAACATTCTCAATGCCCTTAGCTTTTCGTAAAGACTGCAAGAGATATCTTAAATAGTCCGGTCGATTATGCACTTGCACTACAATAACCAGGTCATCCTGTGGCCGGTTGGTAATTTTTTCCAAGTTCTTAATAGTTTGGTCAAAATTCAGCTGAAAAACTACTGATCTGTACACCATTGTCATGTTATCCACCTCTGGTTTCTGTATCTTTTCAGGGGCAGAGTCGTTGGAAATTTTCCTATTCCCTGGAGACACATGTGCCCTTCCATGTGGTTTCTCTATCTCCAAGTCTTGAACAAAGTCATTTTTCTTTTGCCTGCCACTGTTCCACAGTGCCAGGCCGCAGGCTACCACCACTAAAGTGAGGAGGACGACTTTCTTTTTATATATTCGGCACCTCATGTTATAGATGATCCGCAGCAATAAGAGGGAGGGAAGCTGAAATGGCACACAGGGCCTGCCTGTGAGATCCAAATCAAAGCCCAGATGGAAGCATTAAATGCACAAATGTCTTTTGGCTAACTCATCCTCCCATCTGATGAGGATAGGAGCGGCAGTTCCAAGTGGGCGATCGCATGCATCTTGTTTCCCTCCCAGCCTCGCACACATTGACTGAGGCAGATCACTGACTGAAAACAGACTCCATGCAACATCTGCTGGTAAAGGACACGCTGCTCAATGAGCTCACCACAGCTCCCCTGCAAGAAAAAAAAAAAAAAGATAAAAAAATGTTATCCTGAGAGAACAGCAAATAGCACAGGAAACGCTTAACATGCCATACTCACTGCAAGCTGCTCAACTGTTTGCAAAAAAAAATTATTATTATTACACAGCATTTATATAGCACCAACAGTTTGCTCAGCGCTGTACATTACAATGGGAGACAATACATGAGACTGCACAGTAACAATAAAATACACGAGGGGTTCGAGGGCCCTGCTCCTTGGAGCTTACAATCTAGGAGGGAGGGGAGAGTGGTACAGGAGGAAATAGCTGTGAGGGATGGAGTGGTGGGGAGAGAGTGGAGGAGATCAGCAGTTAGGTGAGGGTGGGGTAGGCTTCTCTGAAGAGATGGGTTTTCAGGGTGCACCTAAAAGGTGAGGAGAGTAGGTGACAGTGATGGATTGGGGTAGTGAGTTCCAGAGGATGGGGGAAGTCCTGGAGACGGGCATGGGAGGAGGAGACCAGGGAGCTGGAGAGTAGGTGGTCTTGTGAGGAGCAGAGAGTGCGTTTTGGGAGGCAGATGGATATCAGGTCGGTGATGTAATTTGGGGCAGTATTATGAACAGCTTTGTACGTCAATGTTAGTATTCTGAACTTTATGCATTGGGCAATCGGAAGTCAGTGGAGGGATGGGCAGAGGGGGGTGGCGGATATATATATTCCTAGATTGTAAGCTCAAAAGCGCAGGGCCCTCGATCCCCATCATGTTTTGCATTGTATTGGTATTGTTCTGTCACATGTTCTGTCCCCCTTTGTAATGTACAGCGCTGAGCGAACCATTGGCGCTTTATAAACTACTGTATAATAATAAATATATATATCTATCTCTCTCTATCTCAGAACAGACTTTTTTACAATTACTCCTTCTATTCACAACTCATTCAACCCCCATCAACTAAGCACCATGAGAAGACTCATGCAGTCCAAGCGACAACCACCAAGTTAGCGAGACACAAACAAGTTTAGGCACATATACAAAAAAGCATAAATTATCCATTGTAACAGCAACATAATAGATGTGGTAAACCATTTAAACACGATTGATCATCTAGATGTGGAACATTTGATCGCTGCTGATCCTCGATGTGTATTATGTTGAAGGTCCAGCCCACAATACATTTGCACTATTTATAAGGTCGCCAATCTTTTTTTCAAAAGACGGTATTTTAAGTACAATCTATAATTACAGTAGCCAGTGTCAACTGAGGACACAACAGCCATTACAATGAATTTATCAATTCAAGGGACACAGTGCACTTCACAGAGGCTGAATAAAACTGAGCACAAAATGTAACGCTGCACATTCATTGATCGTTTACCACCATGTGCTGCCAATTAATGACTCTTTATAACCCACACTAAGCAAACTAATTGTCTTCCAGCACTTACGTAGCGCCATCAATTCACGCAGCGATTTATAGAATGTACTTCACATCAGTCCCTGCCCTCAAGTTGCTTACAATTTAAAGTAGAATTCTAGCTAAAGCCTAACTAGTCTTCGAAATGATGATTCCTCCCCCTACTAACACCTATGCTGACCTGTGGAAGAAAAATGTATAAAAACGTACATATTTTAAGCCCGCTTCAGTCCAATCACATGATCCCTTGTCAGCCAGCTGCAGGGGAATGGAGCGAGAGCGCCCGACAAAGGCTGTGAAAGCCAGAAGCAATGATGTCATTTTAACATCCTCCTTCCACAAGCGGAATTGCAGGGAATTTTCCCCCCTATTTTTGTATTTATTTTAATTTTTTTAGTCCTGCCAACCACTGCTACTACAGCCTAGGCCAGAATGATGTAACTGGTCCTGCAGCTTCCTGGGACACTTACATTATTATATCTCCAGGGGGCTGCAGGATCGGCACACAGGGGCAACCAGAAGAAGCAGCCAGCCTGCCCCTGGATGGGCAAGCATGTGCTTTGAAAGAGTGCAAGAGCACGATGGGCAAGTGGAGAAAAAAAAAAAAAAAAAAAAAAAAAAAAACACATTATTATGGGGGTTTGATTACCACTTTGACTTTAACTTTAAAGAGGAACCCCCCCCCCCCCCATCCCTACTTTATAAACATGAACAGTGAAACAAATCACACTTATATCCTTCTCACTTTTTTCTTCCCTATTTTTTTATCCTTCCTCTTTGCTGCCTTGGTTTCCCTGTCCCTGCACCTCCATTTTTAAAAATGCCTGCAGTATTGTCACCCTGCACATGGGTCAGATGAAGCGCATGACGTCATGAGCTTCACCTTGCCAATGCCCTGCATGACGCTACTAGCATCTGATGGTGAAACAAAAAAGTAGCATGTTATCACTGTGCCTTTGGGAACACCAGGAAGTAGAAGAAAAAAAAACTAAAAAAAGAACAAAACTAAGTAAAGCAAAAGACATAAAAAGTGTTATGAAATTTCACATCAACAGAGATGTGTGCTGATGTGAAATACAGCGAAAGGGGGGGAAAGGTCCACTTCAAGTATTCAGCTGCAAAATTATGTAAGGAAATGTAGATTTTATCAGAAGGAGAACAGCTGGGGCTCCTTCCATGTAAATTCTTTGGCCGTGGGCCAGTAAAAAAGGAGTAAGAGGACCATATGCTTCCCAAGAGGCACCCGTCTGACATACCTGATATAAAACCTACAAGCTCATTTATTTTAATTTGTGACATGACCCTCTTGCACTGCCTGGACATCATTGCAACCACAGATACCCAATACCAGTATCTCAAATTGGTGTTTACATAGACATTATTATATTATTAATATACAGTATTTATATAGCACCAAAAGGTTTGCTCAGCGCTGTATATTATAGTGGGGGACAGAACACGAGACAATACAGTAATAATACAATACACGAGGGGTTCGAGGTCCCTGCTCTTTCAAGCTTACAATTTAGGAGGGAGGGGGTAGTGGTACAGAAAGAAGTGGCTGTGGGGGATGGAGTGGTAGGAGGAGTGGAGGAGATCGGCTGTTGGGTGAGGGCGGGGTAGGCTTCCCTGAAGAGGAGGGTTTTCAGGGTGCACCTAAAAGGTGAGGAGGGTAGGTGACAGTCTGATGGATTGGGGTAGCGAGTTCCAGAGAATTGGGGAAGTCCTGCAGTCGGGCGTGGGAGGAGGAGACCAGGGAGCTAAAAATTGGCAATACGCCCCCCCACTGAATGTGGCAATGCCTGAACCTGGTGATGGGCTGCTTAGACCCTAGGGCACATTTTGTTATGTGGGTGCACATTGTTCAAAGACTAAGACACCTAGGTAGAACATATTCCAAGAAAAGGTCTGCACTGACCCCAGATAAGGGCACCCGATATATAACTTTGAGCATTGCTAGTACAGAATCACAACATGTGAATGTGATCCTACACTCAGTCTTGCTGAGATTAATAAATTGATTCATAGAATGGATGAAACATAGGTGGGAATCAGAGATCAGACTGGATGATCTCCTTCAGTAGAAATGATGTGGCTGCACTAAAGATATCTTTGATTAGCACTTTGTCCATCAAAAAGTAAAAAAAAATATACAATATTTGATTCTCTCTTTTCATGTGACAACACTGAAGAAATGACACTTTGCTACAATGTGACGTAGTCAGTGTACAGCTTGTATAACATGTAAATTTGCTGTCCCCTCAAAATAACTCAACACAGCCTTTAATGTCTAAACTGCTGGCAACAAAAGTGAGTCCACCCCTAAGTGAAAATGTCCAATTAGGCCTAAAGTGTCAATATTTTGTGTGGCCGCCATTATTTTCCAGCATTGCCTTGGGCATAGAGATCACCAGAGCTTCACAGGTCTGGAGTCCTCTTCCACTCCTTCATGACGACATCACGGAGCTGGTGGATATTAGAGACCTTGTGCTCCTCCACCTTCTGTTTCAGGATGCCCCACAGATACTCAATAGGGTTTAGGTCTGGAGACACGCTTGGCCAGTCCATCACCTTTATCCTCAGCTTCTTTAGCAAGGCAGTGGTGGTCTTGGAGGTGTGTTTGGGGTCGTTATGTTGGAATACTGCCCTGCAGCCCAGACTCTGAATGGAGGGGATCATGCTCTGCTTCAGTATGTCACAGTATATGTTGGCATTCATGGTTCCCTCAATGAACTGTAGCCCCCCCAGTGCCAGCAGCACTCATGCAGTCCCAGGCCATGACACTCCCACCTTTATGCTTGACTGTAGGCAAGACACTTGTCTTTGTACTCCTCACCTGGTTGCTGCCACACACGCTTGACACCATCCGAACCAAATCAGTTTATCTTGGTCTCATCAGACCACAGGACACGGTTCCCGCAATCCATGTCCTTTAGTCTGCTTGTCTTCAGCACACTGTTTGAGGGCTTTCTTGTGCATCATCTTTAGAAGAGGCTTCCTTCTGGGAAGACAGCCATGGAGACCAATTTGATGCAGGATGCAGCGTAAGGTCTGAGAACTGACAGGCTGACCCCCCACCCCTTCACCCTATACAGCAATGCTGGCAGCACTCATACGTCTATTTCCCAAAGACAACCTCTGGATATGTCACTGAGCGCATGCATGCACGGCCTGCTCTGATTGGAACCTGTCCTGTTAAGCCACTGTATGGTTTTGGCCACTGTGCTGCAGCTCAGTTTCAGGGTCTTGGCAATCCTCTTATAGCCTAGGTCAGGGGTCTGCAACCTTTAAGACATAAAGAGCCACTTGGACCCATTTCCG